AAAAAAAAAAAAAGACCATGATGTCAGCCAGGCCCCAGCTACCATGTCCCCAAGATCTCTTAAGGGCTGCCCCCCCCCCCACCTACCTGGGTGATGTCATCCTGCTGGACCCTGTGGAAGCTGAGCTGGCTGAGGTTGAGCTGCCGCGTGCTGGCCTGCGGCCCCCGCTTAATGATGAGGTTGGAGATCTCTGGGGACAGAGGCCAAGTGACTGAGTCGGCCAGCCTGGGGTCAGGGACGCCGGCACGCTCCCGCCCCGCCCCCTCATACCTCCGGGCCGGGGCAGGCAGCACTGGCGCAGGGAGAAGCAGTCGTCCCCAGCCCGCAGGGAGCAGCCCTGCAGGGCGACCCGCAGCTCCCGCACGCTGGCGAAGGGGCGGCCCCAGCCCTCCAGCACGAAGCCGCCGGCCTGCCGCTCGATGGGGAACTTGCGGAGGCGCATGCTCCGCACGCCGCCGCCGGGGGTCTGGGCGGGCAGAAGGGACAGTGAGCTGGGCCCTGAGCAAGTCGAGACCCCAGCGCAGCCCAGCCCGCGCCCCCAGCCTCAGGCGCACCGGCTCCCGCTGCGCCACCGTGAGGATGAGGCGGTGGAGGTGGCTGGTGCTCCAGTGTATGAGGTAGAGCCCGTCCTCCGGCCGCAGCTTGGCCCGCACAAATGGCTCCCTGGGGAGTGACCGGGCACCCTCAGGCCACCGGGAACCACTGCCCGAGCAGGGTAGGTGGGGTGACCTGAGACTGCCCAGGGGCACACAAAACAGCTGGGAGAACAGGCACAACCGGGGACGTCAGACACAGCCACCAAGGTGGTGACACACAATACACCCCGCCACGGGCACACGTGGGGTGACACACGTGGCCACTCCACCACACACCCAAAGGCCCGGAGTCCCACAGGACGACACAGCTTGTGTTTGTCCGTTTTTCGTTGCTAGGGATGGAACACAGGGCCTCTGCACAGAGCAACGTCCCCAGCCCTTTTTACATATTTATTGTGAGACAAGGTCTGGCTAAGGTGCTCAGGCTGGGCTTGAACTGGACCCTCCTGCCTCAGCTTCCCAAGTGCTGGGATGACAGGCACGTGGTCATCCCAGCGAGGCCCACGTATTGAAGGGCTGGTGCCCAGCTTGGCACTGTTGGAAGGTGACGGGAACTCTGAGACATGGAATCTATGAGATTTTTAGGCCACTGAGGTACGGCCTTGGAGGGGACTGTGAGAGCCCAGGTTCTTCAAGGAGGGCTGTTTTGCTTGGGCCACACCCTTCCGTCAATGTGCTGCCTCCCCACCAGCCCGAAGGCACAGGGCCGCTGACAGGGAACAAAAATCTCCAAAACCGTGAGCTGGGAGAGTGGTGTCCCACACTTGTCATCCCAGCACTTAGGAGGCTGAGGCAGGAAGATTGCTATATGAGTTTTGAGGCCAGCTTGGGCTACAGAGTGAGACCCTGTCTCAAAGCAAAAACAAACATACAAACAAAAAACCCCACATGCACACACAGCAGACACAGGGTTCAGAGTCTCCGTCTTGTCAGTGCCCACAGCAGTGGCCACCTGTCCCCTGCTTGCCCGCGTGGCCACTCACAGCAGAGGCCCGTGGATGCCGTCCTGGAGGCTCAGGACCAGCCGCGGTGGCGCCACCTCATGGCACAGGTAGTGGTTGGAGTCAGCCGTCAGGCGGAAGTAGCCGTCCACCAGCGCCGCGAAGGACAGGGTGGCAGCCCGGGAGGGCAGGCTCATTTCCTGCAGGCGGGCGGGCGTCAGGCAGGTGTCACAGGCCGGCCTCACCCGCGCCCCCAGCCCCGGCCCAGCCCCCGGCCTAACCAGGCACTTGTTGTCCTGCCGGTGGATGGTGATGCAACTGTCCTTCAGGACCATGTGGGTGACGTCCCGGAAGTCACAGAAGTAGGTCCAGGGTGGCTCCCGTGGCCAATCTGCCAGCTGCTCACCTGCCTCCTCGTGGGCCCTGGTCTTTCTCCCAAGCACCCCGGCTTGCAGATTTGAGCTGCTACCACTGTTGCCGCTGGCACCCTAAAATGCCAGCAAGGCGGGTAGGGGACAGAGACAAGGTCTGTGTTGGCCCCCCTGCTTTCCTCAGGGCACAGACAGGAGTTAGAGGGGCCGAGTCACACTCAGGGGTCCCACTTGTCACAGGCAGCAGTAGGATCCACGCCTAGGAGATGCGTGTGCCACAACCGGGCGTGGTGCTGCAGGCTTATGATCCCAGCACTCTGGGAGGCTGAGGCAAGAAGATCGCAAATTCATGGCTAGCCTGAGCAAATTAATGATTTAGGGGCCCAGGACGTAGCTCAGCGGGCAGCACCTGCTTGGCAAGCAGAAGGCCCCCCGAGTTTGATTCCCCGTACAGAAAGATAAATACATACATAAATAAATAAATAAAATGAACGATTTAGGAAATCCCTGTCTCAAACTAAAATTCTATAAAGGGCTGGGGATGTAATAAGTGGAAAGGTACTGGGTTCTATTCCCAGTACTATGAATGAATGAATGGATGGATGGATGGATGGATGGATGCAGATGCCAGAAGCCAGAGCTGGAGGAGGCAGAGAGCGGACTCTGAGCCCACCCACCTCCAGCGGCCACAGCCCCAGACGACAAAGCAGCCCCCAGAGCGCAGGCTGCAGAAATCAGGCTCCCCGGAAGCAGGTACAAGGAGAGAGACCCACACCAGCGGCAGAGGGGTAAAGAAATCCATGACTCCCCGTGGATGTCAGGGGTCTAGGCCAAGGGGTGCAGACCCCAGCCCAGGCCCACCAGGACCCCAGAGGAGGTGCCCTGCTCACCTCGGGCTGCACCGGGCGCCACTGGATGCCCCCGGTGCCTGTGACCAGCACTTCGTGGGTGGGGGGCCCCGCGGGTGACGTGGAGTCAGGGTCCACGGGGGGCTGCCCGCTGTCCTGGACGTAGCAGGGCTCCCTATCAGCCTGGGACAGGATCTCTAGGTAACGCACAGGGATGCGTTCGGCGCCAAAGCGGGGCGCCAGGTGCTCCAGAGTGGCCAGGTACTTGACCATGATGACCTGCTGGGACAGGTGGCCTGGCTGGAAGGCCCGCAGGAAGCGGCGGAAGACGCTGCGCAGCCGCAGCCGCGTCAGTATGTTGTGCTGGCGGATCTGCTGCTGGAAGGAGCGCGGGATACAGTGCGTGAAGCTGGAGGGAGACACAAGGGACGATCAGGGGCCAGAGACGGGCCAGGCTGGGGGACATCTCAAGCGGCTGGAACGCTCTGAGCCTCAGCTGCCTCACTTAGCAAACATGTACACTGTCATGAAGGGGGAAAAAAACATAAAGGGCTGGCACGGTGAGGCACACCTGGATCGCAAATTCCAGCCCATCACGGGCAACTCAGTGAGACACTGTCTCACAATAAAAAGAAAAAATAGAATAAAACAAATTCAGAAAGGCTGGAGCCCAGCACAGCGGCATGCATCTGTAATCCCAGCACTCTGGGAAGCTGAGGCAAGAAGATCATAAATTCAAGCCCAGCCTGAGTAACTTAGTGATATAGAGACAACCTGTCAAAAATTTAAAATTAGAGAGCTTGGGATGCAGCTCTGCGCAAAGGCCCGGTGTACAATCCCTATTTCCACAAAATACAGAAGTAATTTTGGTTTTTGTTGAGACAGGGTCTCACTGTGTAGTTCAGGCTGGCCTTGAACTCACTATGTATCCCAGATTGGCCTCAA